TAAAAACCCAAAATTTAGAACCAAAATGCTACGTTGAACTAAATTCTCTTGTGTAAACTTTTTTATGTAAGCATGAGCAAATAACTTGACCCCTCTTAGGCTCACTTTCCCATCTGTAAAAGGGGAATAGTCAGGTCACTTTTTTAATATGATTATAATAATTAAATATCACAATGTTTATAAAGTACATAACATTGTGACTAGGACTTATGCATTGTTTAATAAAAGGTAGGCACTATTTGTATGCCCAAAAGCACTGTGCGTGGCTTTTGAAAGTGCTCAGAGAAATCAATGGATTTAAATTTGGTAAGTAATGAGGAAGGGGTGTTCTTCAGCTGCTCCTGATCTGGGTATGTAATGACTGGCAACAATCTTGGAATAGTTATGCCAGACCTGAAGCAACTGTAGCACTACCGCCAACTGTCTTTGGAAATAAGAGAAAGTGATCAATCAATCAATATTGATTCAGCTTCTTGCTCTGGGCAGGCAGTAAGATTCTTGACCTTAGAAGGCTATCATCAAATCAGGTAGAATATAAAATTAACCTTTATAGACAGCCTTGTATAAGATACATCCTACAGGAAAGTTGACTGTGGACTCGGGTAATTAAGGAAGACTTCAGAAAGGAGTTGAAAATTGAACTTTATTAGTCTTGTGGTTAAAAATACCATAGGTCATATGCCCACAAAAGGATCGCCCTTTTGTCCTGAGGAGTTCATTTATTCAATCCAGTGGGCCTTAGCCCTCAAATCTCAAAATCTGATTTTTTAATCCTATCTAATAATGAAAACAAATGGACAACTCATAAATATACTGTTTAAGAAAATGAGATTTTTGGCTGGATTTGAGCAATTAAATATGCTTAACTCACTGGTGGGCAGGGAGGGGACATAACATGGTCTTTGAAAATTATAATTTCTTGAGACATATTAGGAAAGACACTTTTTTTCCCCCAATGGGAAGGAAAACAGTTGATGGAATGTCATGGTCTTTGTATCCAAAAGGCTTCAGCAAATCTTACAAAGATGAACTCCAGAGGGCTAAACTTTAAGTACGTGGGCCCTTGTGACTAGCATGGACATCTTATAAAAGAAAACCTACCACAGGTGGGCTTGGTCAACTTCAACAATGATACATTACTGCCAGCACAGGCAAGATTAATAGATTACAGTTGACTTGAGTTCATCCTATTTGTGCCTAACTCTGATGACCCAGACACTTGGCTTCCGTATGCATAGACCCAAAGCCAAACCTGGTACATGTGATGGCCCCAGAAACAACAAGAGCACTTAATCAATTGAATAGAATCATGAATAGTCTATCTCAATTGACTATTATATTTGGTTTCATTTTTTTAACTTTATTGTCTTTTGAAAGTCCCTAATTACAATATCATTAATAACAAATTAATTTAGCATATCTAGAATATGTGCTCTCTAGGTCTTGTGCACTTTGTAAATGTTGGAAAATAAAGCAGTAACTTCTAGGAGCCAGAATGAATTTGCTAAGTAATCTGAAACATCTCCTTTTAAATCATAAGGATACCATATTCAAGTTCATTCTGCTAATTATTTAAGTAGCACTGTTGTTACATAGCTTCATGCTCCATAAGAAAAAGCTAGATTAAGTTTACAAGAAATTGGAAAGCAACCGTTTTTCATTTTACATTAAACCTTTCTGAGCTTTGATATCTTTGTCTACAAAGTGAGAATAAGAAAAACCTCTGATCTACCTCCTGGTATAAAGTGTGACAAAGTACTTTTAAAATGTTAGTGACATGCAATAAAGAAACCTTACTATTAGCAAAAAGAAAAAAGCAGGGTGGAGGGAGGAGGTGAGAGAAAAGAATAAAGATAAGCAGAACAATGAACGTGGAACAAAATCACTTTTAGGGCAGAAAAGAAACCTTAGTGGAAGAACCCTACTTCTTTTTAAATACGGAAAATGAAATCCAGGGAAGTAAAGTGACTTGTGTTAAGTCTCACAGCAAATTCATGGTGAGAAGAAAGGAAACCAAAAATGGAAAGGAAAGAAAAGCACACAAAACAACTAAGAGTTAGAAGTCAAAAGAGTTCTCCCAAGAACTGACCTGGGAGGGCTGGTAGCACTGGCCTGGCCCTCTGCTTAGCTCTGAAAATGCTGCTCTGCCTTTGGAACCTGGCCGAGGTGACCCATGTTGGACCACTATTTCTTGCTCAATAATTTTCCCAAGGGTGCCAATCAGAAAGCAGTCAGGCACCCCCTTCTGCTCTCAGTGCTCACCCCATTTTATCCACACATGCTTCTTTCTCTCCAGGCCAATGTCCAGAGAGGAGGAATCAGGGCCCACATCTGATTCATTTGCTCTTGTCCCTCTATTTTACAAAATCAAGCTAACCCTTCTCCCAACCTTCCCCCCCAAAAAACCTCTATGTTACTCTACTTTAGAGATCCAAATTAGTGTAAAGATTCAAAGAAACATACGTTCTCAAAAATATTTTCATAGGTTGTTACAGCACTAAAGCGTCTAATTACTTTTTTCATTTGAAGAATATATCTACTTAATTTTTTTTCTTTTTAATGGCAGTTAAGTCAGTAAAACTAATAATAGTGGTACAATATGTATCTTATGTATGGAGCAGGATCTTGTTCATATGATAGAAAAATTTCTTCTTATGAATTTGTATCTCACTGTAGAAATGAAGATAATGAAAGAGATATCCCCATGAAATAATTTTAGAAACAGAGAGAAAAACAGCTTCTCAGCCAATTTGGTTATAGGTCTCTAGGGTCGGAATGCAGTAGCCCAGAGATTTGTTGTTTCAAATTGTCACAGGAAAGATTTGTGTGCAGATCTCGCTGTTTGTGTATTCATCTGAAAGTCTCTTTTTCCTATAGTTTAAAATTACTAAAACCATCCCTCGTGGCAAAGAAATAAGAGGGGAAGGAGGCAATGATTTCCTTAAATTGTTGTTTTTGTCAATGAGATGGATCTTCCATCGGCCCAGCAAGTAGCCAATAACACATCATAAATTCCTTTGCTTTAAGACAAACTCCCCCGATAACACAGGTCAGTGGTTCCCAAATTAGTTCTGAACACAGACGTAGGATTCTCAAAGTCTATGCCCAGAAAAGAAAAACAATTCGCGTGAAGTGAGTTATGTTTCAGGAAATGTAACGGGAAGGTTTTTACCCTAACAGTAATTTAAACTAATAAAATAAATAAATACATCCTTTTTTCTCTCTCTTTTTCCTTTCCAAAGTCAAGGTCTCAGAAACCATCAAGCTGCTTGATACCGTAAGCAGCAGTAAGAGTGAAGGCCCATCTCAAGGCTCTGTTCTAGAACTCAGAGATGTGCTACCGAAGTCAAGGCTGTGAACAGGAGAGTTAGGGACATTTTCGCTGTCCCTGAACAGCTACTAGTCCGTTTAGTCTGATCAGTTAAGCCATCTGTGATCGCCAACCAAGTCTGAGCCTTTCTGTGACAATGAACAACTCTTGGACTAGTATGTCACGGTCATACACAATTCATTACTCCAGTATTGTGTATAGTACTTGGGATAACCGATCAAATGCATGTGGCTTGTCTATAATGTACCCATAAATATAAAATGTTATTATTTTTTGACGGCCTACATTTCCCCTTGGTGCTGGTGGTTTGTCGGTTGGATTTTTCTTTCTTCCACATCAAGTCCCACCCTTCTCACCTCCTCCACCACAGCTGTGCTGCACCAGCATCTCCGTGTGAACTCCCTTTGTGTCTGTTTCCACTCTTCCTCTATTCTCCCCTCTACAAAGCTCCCGTCTTTGTAAAGTATGATTATCTAACCGCTATGCTGTACACCTGAAACTAATACAGAATAATATTGAATGTGAACTGTAATAGAAAATTAAAATAAATGCTAAAATTTTTTAAATAAACAAGAAAGAAAAGGTCCCATCAGAAGGACCCTTTTATATCTTTTTATTTATTTACTAGAGGCCCGGTGCATGAAATTTGTGCACTGGGGGGTGGGGGTGTTCCTCAGCCTGGCCTGCACCCTCTCCAGTCCAGGAGCACTCAGGGGATGTCTAACTGGTGGCTTAGGCCCGCTCCCCACGAATACTTAGCACTGCTGTGGAGGCAGGAGAGGCTCCCGCCATGGCTGCTGCATTCACCAACCATGAGCATCTGCCCCCTGGTGGTCAGTGTGCATCATAGCAACCAGTCATTTTGCTGTTTGGTCAATTTGCATATTACCCTTTTATTATATAGGATTTATTTATTTAATTTAAATTCTTTATTTTTTAAAGTATTACATATGTCTCCTTTTTTCCCCATTGACCTCTCCCTGGCCACTCTGGGGTTCTGGCTGGTATGGCTCAGTTGGTTAGAGCATTGTCCCATACACCAGAAGGATATTTTTTAAACACAGATCTGATCACACCCCTCCCCTCTCCAGGCCCTTACTGTGGCCTCCACAGCCTTGCATGGACTGGCTCTGGACACCTCCCCAGCTTCACCCCATCATTCTCCCGCTTGGTCACTTCACTCCAGCCATGCTGGCCTCCTTGCATTTTCCGAACTATACCAGGCACACTCCCACCTCAGGGCTTTTGTGATGCTTGGCGCAGACCTCTGCTGAAATGCACTCATAGCAGAGCTCTCTCCACCATCTTACCTGTAATAATAAGCCCATCACCCTGGCAACTGTCCCCCACTGCTCTCTATCGCTTTGCCTAGCTTTTGTATTAAAAAAAAATGTTAAAGGAGAGTTATATACAGTGTAGGTAAGCTATTAAATGACTTCTGTAAAATAGGTAATTTATTATATTTCTTCTTAGGCACTTCTTTTGCCAGCTTTTTTATTAGAAATTTACAGAAAATTTTCACAAACTATAACAAAACAAGTTTTTTTTTACTATTGTTTTTGGCATTTGTGGTTTGAACATAATTGTATTGTGTGTTTTTTAAAAACTAAATGAATTCCACATGAAGAGAACTGTGCTCACTCTCTCTCCTTTCCCTTCAAACCCACAGACGTCTTGCCGGAAACGCTTTGACATACATTCCCAAGGGAGCCTTTGCAGGCCTCTACAGTCTTAAAGTTCTGTAAGTAAACCAGGTGTGACCTGGTACATTTCTGACTTTAGCAGCAAGTGAATGCTAATTAACTTGTAAAGACTGAGTTCCTCAAATAACCTATTTGGAGCATTTGGGATAATTCATCTAAATTCAAGTCTGCCTTCATTAGTACCCCATACAGCAATATTATACCTGGCTGGATTTGTGTGAAAAAAATTCACCTCTCTTTTTCTAACTTTAATATCTAAAATTGTTTGCCTCTAAATAACCAACTTATCAACTCAAACTTTTAAAAAAGTATTTCATTTCCTTTTGTGTTATGAAGTTGGCAAGATTTCTTGAATCATTTTGATCACCAAGTGAATAAATCACCGTGATGCTAACATAATGAGATCACATCTTCAAACCGTTTGCAAAGTTTGTTTCCTTATGATTAAAGATCTGCTTTAAAAAATCAAGTTTGTTACAATTGTGAATAGATGTGAAAAAGCCTAGTGATTATAGATACAATGAGTAACTATTTGATAAATATTAATTCATTGAGACTTGTAAAAGTGGGTTTTCATATTATTTAATGTCCAACTTCCCAATTTGTTTATCAGAAGACTCATTATTATTGACTACCTCCTTGTTCTAGTACCCATTGTTTAATTTTCTTTCAGTTTATTCTGTGTAGGGGGGAAAAGCACCTACGTAGAGAAAATAGGTAACTCAAATTGAAAGTCATAATAGAAAAATTTTATCTCAGAGAAAATACCCTGATTTTATTTTCTTTCTTTGAGATAAAAGTTATAAACAATAAAAGGGCATTTGATATATTCCTGCTTAACAGAAATTGCATTTTATTCACCTCAGAGATACATAGGCTATTTAAAAAGTAATTTAGTTTAAATATATTTGTTAAATATTAGTTAAAGGTCAAATTCAACAGCAGAACCATTTTTGGTCTGCTTAGATGATTGGGTTTCGTCCCCTCAGCTTTGAATTATTTTTGCTATGAGGCAGAAGTATTTTTAAATTGTCACATTGCCAAATGCTAATGTTAATTCATTATGTGGTAGGATTCTGAGTTATAGCATCAACTTCAGTACACCTATGTCTCCATGAACACAGCAAAATATTTGGAACCCTTCTAAATACATCACATAAATCAAGTTTGGATAAGATAAATAAGGGAATATATTTCCTTTGTTGACCTATGTACCATTAAGCATTTTGGATATTTGTTAAATTGATTATATTGGAACCGATCATCTGAATTCACTTAACAAAATGTAAATCAGATATACTGAGCTAGAGTGTATGTGTGTCTGCATATCTGTGTCTGCGTGTAAAATGTATCATCAGCCATCATAATTATATGTAAATTGTGATTATATAATATTAATACATATAAATATCTAATAAGAATATCTATGAATTAGATATACACTAGATATGATAATTAGATAGAATTATAATTTTACATTTTTGCATTTTCATATTTGAATTACTTAAGTTTAGTATGAATCTTTTGATAACATTTTTTAATTTTCTAATTATATATTTCTAATTTTATCATACTGCACTAAATGTCCATGAAACTGGAGATGTTGTCTGTCTTGGCTACTGGTCTATCCCCAGCTTCTAGAACATGCCTGAATCATAGTAGACACTCAAGAAATACTGGCCGAATAAATGATCCAGATTGATGATACAGAGAGGACAGGGGTTTCTAGACTTGTCAGCTCTTCTTCATTTTGTATGATGTAGACCTAATGCTCTATGTCTATTAATGGATTATCAGTTGCATTCTCAACAATGTGGGCTTCTTCCTGTCAGCAGGTTTTATTTACCCAGAATACTTTTGACATCTTTGCTGCTTCTTACAGTGTATTTGCCTAAACACTTCAGAGAGCATTGGATTAATCTGACTTAAAAATGAAAATCACAGGTTATCTCTCATGCTTGTCATTTTTATATGTACCTCTTCTACCAGAATGGAATGTGGTGTTTAGTTAGACTCTCTCATCTATCCTCTCCTAACTAATCAATGTCTCCTGTCTTCTACACAGTCAGGGCCTCAGCAAAGCCTGGTAAGTGTGAGACTCAAAGTGGCATTAAATGCATTACTGCTGCAAATACAATGCTCCATAAGTGTGGTCATGCCCTGAAGAGCTTATAATCTAGTGGTAGATTGTGGGATCAAGACAAATAGATCACCTGTAATTCTTTTTTTTTCCACCTATAATTCTTAAAGTGTGTCTAGAACTGTGTGTAGGGCACTGTGGAACTACAGAGCTTGAGAAGAATTTAGTCCCATCTGATGGTTAAGGTTCAGCTTCCTAGGAAATATGTTTCCCCAAAGAGATGACCTAGGATCTGAATCTTGAGAGGACAATATTCACAGAGACACAGTGGCAAGAAGTACCTGGCATATGCAGGCAGCCCAAGCAGGTTGGGGCTCAGGCATTTAAGAGGAGGTGGAGAGTATTTGGAAAAGAGCCTGGAGAAGTAGAAAGAGTCCTGGTCACAGGAATCCCATATCTTCTGTCAAAAAAGCATGGACATTATTATGTTGTAAGCATAATGAGGAGCAAAGGAAGAGATGTAAGCAAGGGAGTGGCATGTTCAGACTGTTCAGTTTAGCTAGATCACTGTCAAGGTGAGGAGGATTCAAGAGGAGCAAGACTCCTGCCAGGAATTGTATGCACTCTTCCCTTTGCTTTGCTACTTAAGGATTAATATCTAAGGAGCAAATTCAATTGTCAAATATTTTGAAAGTATCTCAGTGTTAAAGCAATGGTTCCCAACCACAGTGGTTCTTCCCGCCATAGAGTGCTTTGGAAATTTGTGAGGGTGTCTTGTTTTTCCAGATGGTATACTTGTAGTAAGCTGTCCTGTGATGTGCAGCACAGCCCAGCATAAAGATTCTACCTACCACATACCTGACTGTTCCTCCACACCAAATGTAAATCAAGAATACTTTCATACCTAATAATACTGAAAGGTTTTTCAAGAAGTTCTGATAAGACTAATACTTTGTACAGGAAAAATTACATGGAATAAATATATTCTCTCAAAATTATTGAATAATTAATTCAGCTTTTGTATCCTGTCTGTTCTAGGTATTATATGATTTCTAACACATATTTAGTTAAAAACACTGTTAGTGCAGTAGAACAAGTACCCCAAACACCACAAAACAATTAAAGATATATAACCATGACAATGTAAAACTTCTTCTTACAAACAATTATCATTAAATAGCAGGGAAACATGAAACAGAGACCTCACCCTCATGGAAACTCTCAATTGTTTTATAAAGTCCAAAAATCATAAGAAGAAAGAAATAACTGATTGCACTGTAGCATGGTAAGAAAGATAATATAAAAGTAATATTTGTCTGGGACCCTGACCAATATAAGGAGGGCATATGGTAAAAGAAGAAAAAGATACTATCAATGCAATCCATTGAAATGCACAATGAAGACAGCAACAGCCGTCCTTGGCTGGGATTGTTTTATATCCAAACTTGTTACTATGAGCTCTAGAAGATCACTAATGCTTAAGATTATTAACCCTGTAACTATTGACCTTCATAAAAAGTCAGTTATTGGTTCTGTATTCCAAAATACCCAGTCCAGTGGGATTCTGAACCAGGCTGTCCTCAACAAAGGTACATTGTCTTATGTAGGCCATTCAGTCAAAGAATGACTCATTTCCTGCCACCCACTACCAGAACCAAAGCCACGTAGAGGGGATGGGTAAAACTAACCACAGAAAGGTCACAATTACCCAAACTGTTCTCATTCCCACATAGGCCCAGAATAGAGCCTTAATAGCTACTTGATACCTAAACACAGGACAATTAGGTAGAGGGAATACCTAAGGACCAAGCCATCGATTGTTACAAAGTCCCCGTTCGACATATTATCTCATCTCCCTCTGATTCACTCACTGTTCATATTCTTATTTAGTCCTGTTGGCAAAAAAGATAACCAAAATATTGTGCTGCTGAGTAGCATGGGGATGTTGTATGGAGTAGTGAGTATTTTAAAGCTCCTCGGGGAAAGAAATTAAGAAACTATGAAGTCATCCTTTGTCTCTAGAGAAAGTGTTTCATTTTCTTTTCTTCCCCATATGTGAGTGAAAAAAAGAATGAGGTTAGAAGTGGCTAAACCCATATTCTGTTCATGCACATTCTGCTTATATTCAATATATTCAATAAAAGAGCATTTGCAAAAGAAATCAGCAGTCGTGTTGGGAATGCTTTCTGTTTTAATTGCACTCCATGGTGCTGTAAACCCTTTAATTGTTTCTTCTCCCTCTGGAATATCTTAAACAAAAATAGAATTTTCTAATTAACTCACTGGAGACTTATAAGGATGTAATGGAGATAACTTGCTCTTGTTTTGTCATTTGAAAGTAATTAAGCAGAAGTTCTTTATTTAGGGAAAGATCAGGATTTAAATTGTGGGGTTTTTAAATTATATTTTTGGTGTTTCACTGGTAGAAGTAGTTGAAAAATTAAATTGTTGGGAGGTAAGTCAAGAGTAGCTTTAAAAGTTATCATTAATAAAGCTTGTTAAATTCCATTTTCTGAGGCCAGGAATATAAAGTTACTGAGAAAGTTTGCAACTATTCAACGAAGGAAAACCATCTAAATATCTCCTGTCCTCTACTCCAATTTTACGATATTTTAGGAAGACCACATTTTAATAGTTTCACTTTTTGGTTAGCAAAGCATAGGAGAACAATTAATATACACTTTGTACCAGTAATATACGACCTACAAAGTTTAGACATTGATGATCATGTATCTTATCATGATTAATCACTCAACAATTAATGACTTAGAAAACATTTCTATGAAATTAAAATTATATACCATATTTAAACTGCTTGGAAAAGTGTAAAATAACATAGAAATGTGAGCTTTTAATGTTCAGGTAAATTATGCAGCATACAGAATTCAACCTACAATTTTTGGGACTCCCAAACTGGTCAGTGAAGTGTGAGATCTCCCTAAAACTTGACTTTGTCTGTAAAGAATTAACATATTTTTTGAGACTCTTGATTTATGAAATGTTAGTTGAATTCAAGTTTAACATAATGAAATTATTTGAGTAAAATTTTGGAATACAAGTAACACAAGTATATTCCTTAGAAAACAGAATCTCAGTCATGGTGAGAAAAGCATAAATTGTATGACCTCCAAATACCTTTCACATCTTATTTGTATATGAATTTGTATTTGCATATATGAAAGTATAATAAACACCTTTAAATTTTAATCATCAAACACCTTGTTAATCAGATGTTATTCTATTCCCATTATACAGATGAAAAATCAAGGGTCAGTTAGGTTGAATGATTTGCTTCCCAAAACTTAAACCTTAGGGCTTATCTCCAAGCTCAGTGTAGCCTCAAGTTCATCTGAAAATATTATATCAGAAATACTTAGCATAGCATAGGGTGGGTCTCAGTCTGTGGTGCCTTGCCCAGAGCACAGACATCAGTGCAAATTCTCTGGTCCCGACCCCAACCTAATGAACTGAAAACTTTGGGGGTGGGGCCAGCAGACTATGACTTAGCAAGCCTTTCAGTGGATTCTGCTGAACCCTAAAGTTTGAGAACCAACCTCTGGCACAGGTTTTGTTGTTGTAGCTATTGTTGCTGCTGATTTTGTTTTCTCAATTAAAATGTCGCAGTCAGTACCATCTCACTGTATTGTTAGTTTTGAGAAGGGGTTCATCAATTCATACAAAAGGGCCAACGTTTATCGAATGCTTACTATGCGGCAGGTATTGTTCTATGTACTTTCACTCATTGGATGGTCACAATGACCTTGCGGGGGAGTATAATTACTGGTCACTGAGACATGGAGAGATTGGGTGATTTGGCTCAGACCACACGGCTAGTGGCAGGGAAGAGGTATTCAAATTCAAGAACCCGTGCTCTTCACCACACCTTAATCATACCAGACACCATTCAACTTGAGAATTTGTACATTCAGCAAATATCCCTCAAGAATTAGACATACAGGGAGCTGAATCCCAGTTAGTCATCTAATGAAAAGAAACTTCAATTGTGGTGATGAGGGAACCAGGCAAATTGTTTCTGAAATCCAAATATAAGTTTGTTACCTAATAAGCAGAAAATTTTCTGTAAAATGTCTACTCTCCTAAAACAGTCTTCTGCCTCTGGCTTACATGGACCATGCAATACTCAGAGGGATGGGAGTGGTAGCAAAATATAAGGAATCTAATGGGAATTTTTCCATGCTATTTTCCCATTTGCAATAGTATGTTTTTATCTCATTGTTTCCATTCTGTAGTCCCTGTGTTCTGAAAAGAATTGTTGAACCTAGGTGAGCAAAAATGCAACTACTTCACAAAAAGAATGTAATTTATATCAAAATATGACCATGAGCAAGAAAAGATATCTTTAATAGACTCCTATGATATCCTTATTTTCATTTTGTCTAATCTATATAGTCACCACAGTGATCCTTTAAAAACAAGTACGATCACATCATTTCCCACTTAAACCCTTCAACGAGAATTTCTCATCACATTTAAAATAAAGCTTTACTATGGCCCGAAAGTGCTCCATGAGATGGCCTCAGGTTCTCTCACCCAATCTCTTCCTCTCACTCATTCCTCCTCGGTCACAATTGATCCTTTGCTGCTCCTTTAACAAGTCAAGCAAGCTCCAACCTCAGGACCTTTGCACTTGCTCTTCCCAGTTCCTCAGTAGCTCCTCCCAGATATTCACATGATCTGCTCCCTGACTCCATTCTGGTCTCTACTCAAATATCAGCTCCTAAGAGAGACCTTCCATGACCTTTAAAATAAAAATCTCACTCTTTGTTACTATCTATCCCAAATCTATGTTTTGTTTTATATTCGTAGTACTTATCACTTGGCTCATAGGGTGAAATTCATTACTTTTAATTACCTGTCACTTCCCACTGGAGTTTAAGCTCCCCAGGGGCCAAGGGTTTGTCTGATGTTCTGCTGTTTCCCTGACATCTAGAACAGTGCCTGACACAGCTATGGCCAGTTATGGTTAATTATTGTTGACTTTCTTTAATTTTTTTTTCTTTATTTGTTTTAATGTGCAGTATGCTGCAGAATAACCATCTAAGGCAGGTACCCACAGAAGCGCTGCAGAATTTGCGGAGCCTTCAATCCCTGTAAGTATCTTTGAAATTGCAAAATGTCCTCAGGATCAATTTGGGAAGGAGCATTGAAATGTCCAGGTGACCACTTCAGTAAATTCCTTGGTTGGAGGTCCTACCTAAATAAGTTGGGAAAGAGAGTTTCCATTAGAGCAGCAGTTCTTTGCTTCCTCATTAAACAATATGTGTGGGAGGGACTCGTGTTGGATTTGGGGGTTTCAGGGCAGAGGCTTAATCATAACACCTCCAGCCAAAGCCTCTTATATACAATACACTGGTATCTCAGGACAAAACATATACTTCCAGGATCTTTTCCTACATTCCCCTGTAATTTGAAATTTCTGATTTTGAATCAGGAATGTTACTTTCTCCTTTTTTTTTTTTACATATATTTTTATTGATTTCAGAGAGAAAGGGAGAGGGAGAGAGAGATAGAAACGTCAATGATGAGAGAGTCATTGATCTGCTGCCTCCTGCACGCCCCTATTGGGGATCTTGCTGCAACCCAGACATGTGCCCTGACCAGGAACCAAAGAGTGACCTCTTGGTTCATAGGTCAACACTCAACCACTGAGCCACACCAGCAGGGCTATTTTCTCCTTTTATCTGGAAAAATGGGTGTCACAATCCAGACACCTTGGCATCTTCAATTTATTCTGTTTTTAGATGAGCTGAGCTGCCTTGTAATGAAATTTGCTGAGTCAAATAAAGACTTAATTTTTTTAAGTTTTGTATGTACATCAGGGGTTCTCAAATCAATAAGCTAAGCTCTAATAGTCTATTTTAAAGTCTTACTGCACAGGTCTACAAACCAGGAGCTTCCCCATCACCACACACAGACACAAGCAATCCCACACACACACCTCAGATTCACACATCATACAGACAGGCACAAACACACACACCACACACAGACACATAAACACAAACATACATAGCAGTGGTGGTGGTGTTTCCTACTGTGCATCCACAACTTTTCCATCAGGACTTTCCACCCTCCAATAAAATAAAATCTCTGAATAAATAAAAATTAGCTATCAGACGTGTTGGAGCTTGGATTGTAAGCAGTTGTTGACAGTAATTAGTTGCCAAGACTATGCCACGAGTACTTATTTGGTCAGTAAATCTTTAACTCATCAGCATGCGTAAGTGTTTACAATATATTGCATGATCTCCAGTATACACGTGTGTGATATATGTTCTCATCTGACTCACACTGGAGGTCCCCCTCTGTCAAACAAAATATGGCTTCTGGTCTACAATGATGAGGGAGATAAATGCATAAGAAAGGCAAATAAATATTGCAGATTCTAGTTGAAAATCACTGTAAAAAGCCCACCAGTTAATCATTACCCGCAGTGTGCTTAATGCCTTTTGTTGAGGTGACACGAAAGAAGGAGGAACGTGAGATTTGGAGATGATACTTTCCTCCTTTGATCTTTTTTTTTTTTTTAATGAAAGCAAATCTGGGCTTGAGACCATTTCAAGCTTTTCACTGCAGTCAAACAAAGTGACTTCCTAGGTTTTCACCATCCTATAGATAAACAAGCCCACAAGGGCGCCTTTGTGGCCTGGGACAGGTCTGCGGCATTTTCAGGAGCTCCTTAATGACATAACAGTATCGCTCCTCCTTTGTTGCACGAGCCTTTTCCTGAAGGGAAGAAGCAGTCAGAGAAGCAAGCCGCTCTCCAGTGGGTTGTCTGTGTAAGGGCACGGGGTCCCGTGGCTGGATTGAAAGCGAGATAATGGCGGTGGCCAATAGGAACTTTAAACAGCTGTGAGGCAGGCAGAAGATAGAAGGATAAGAGTGTGTAACCAAAAGCCACTATCAGCTGAAAGAAGATCACAACCAGAACACACACAGAAGTGAACTCTTTGAGAAAGAGAAAACCATGAATCTTTTGTTCACTCCAACTGGGTGGTGCCTCTCTGATAAAGGTGTTCAGATTTAGTTTCTTACTGTCTAGATATTTACTATTCACCAGGTGTCTCTTGCATTTGGTTTCTGGTTCGCAAAAACAATTGCCTTTGAAACTTTATAAGTATGTGTTCCCTGTAAAAAAGAAGAAAAAAAGGCAGGGGTTAACTTTCTAGTACGACGCTGATCACATCCAACAGAGGCATCTGGATAGACACTCGGCCCTGGTACTCACTGGACTGTATCGGCTGGTTATGTCATGCTCGTCTGGGGTCCCTTCGCCTGGCGCAGACAGACCCTTGTGAGGTGCTAAATGTTGGCCATTTGCGCTGCCATGCCACTTTTTCTCACTTACATTTCTTTGTGCTGCTTTGATACAAGAGTTAAGACTTGACCCAAAAAAAAAGCAAAGACTTAACCACCAAGTACACAGATGCCGAATTGTACCAACCGAAGGAGCCCCCTACCCGGTTTGCAAGTTTGGGCAACAGTGAGCCCCTTTAAAATTTTACTATTGCCCCAGAATCAAGGTATTCAATAGTATTTCTCCTGCTTCCTTTAAGCATTGGTTTTGAATCTAATGGTCATTCCAAACATGCATTCCGTATCCATTCTGCATTCATTTGCCGTGCCATCCCTGAGCCTCCGTGCGACGTCTGCGTCAGGATGAGTAACGGGGCGAGAGCAGCCTCATCCGGGCTGCCAACACCAGGGAGACCTCCATGCAGTTCCTGAGAGGCCTGCGGCAACCCTTCGACCTTCACCCTTTACCCAATGGTTCCTCTTTTGTTCTCTCTCTTGAATGCACTTTATCATTCTTGATATTTTTATTTTCTTTTTATTATACATGCACTCTCCAAGGAGCACGGGGCTGTGGCGGCAGCACCCTGAATACTTGCCTGGCTCTGTAACTTCTAGGGGGGCTTCTCAGCCCTGGAAGAATCATCCAGGCTGCACCCCAAAACGATTTAACCCGAATGTTAGTGTTTTCTAACTGGTTTCATTACATAGTGAAGAGCTTCTTAAGTGAAGACCGGGAGAATGAGTGTCCTGCAGCATTCTTTCAGATGATATGTAGATATTCTCCGGAACTCTTCTTAAACATGAAATAATAAGAAAATCCATACTTTGCATTCCAGTGTGAATTACAAATGTACGTGGACTATGACGTAAAAGTCAGGGTTGCCTTGTTTGTAATTACGTGAAACAGCTCACCTCTGCCTATTAACTCTACTGACAACCTGGGCAGGTGATGTTCAGAGGCCGCCTGCTGCCTGACCCTGGTATTCAAATGCGGTCCAGCAGCAGCGGCACCTCCTAAGATATGCAGAACCTTGGGCCTCGTCTCTGTCTCACTTAGTTAGCAGCTTTGCTTTAACGATATTCTCGGGTGATTTGTGTGGCCAATGTATTTGAGAAACCAATGTTTTTTAGTGTTCTGTGCTACTAACAAAGTGGCCTAACAAACCAAAACTGCTTGAGGACTACTGACACAGGTCACTGGTATACTTTGCTCCACTCCTATGGACTTGGCTTCATTGAGGAAAGTTTAAGAAACTTGATATATTGAAATTGGTAGCACTGAGGTGAGGAAGAAACAGATTGGACTCGTGTTTCAAGAGATGTAATTTTCCATTTATTCTGCATAAACAAAAGACATTTTTGCTTTGTTCATAATGAAAACAGATAGGTACATTCATGTTCTTTTAACTCTCTCGTGATGCTTACAAATTGCTCAGCTAAAGAATAAGAGGGCAAGTCCATGCGCTAGAGCCTCATGGCCCGGGGCCGGCCCCTGTACAATGTGCACATTTGGCTTCTGACTGGTCATGATTGCCCAGACACCAATTGGATTTTTTGTAATGTAATCAAACATAACTTAATTTCCTTTCTGTTTTCTGGAAAGGAATCGGAAATGTAATCACAATTCACAGCGAGTTGTATTTCACCAACAAACGTTTCACGTTATAGTCATTTCAAGACTAGGGTCAGATTACAGTGATTTGATGGAAATTCAAAACTTAACCCTCCCATACCCTCACACCTTGTATTAATAGTTAAGAAATTGATCTATTTAAAAAAAATCTTTGCTTCATTTGCATAGTGGTTAATGATGTTCAAGCATGTCATTAGCGAAGCATGAGATGATCAAAGGAAATGACGTATCCCGTTCATCAGAGAATGATTTAATACATGTCGGGTTTTATTCCAAGTCTACACGGCCAAAGCTAACTGGAGAGTATGCACAATCACAAAAATAATAGTTTGGTAAATAGAAAATGAAAGGAGAATGAGACATATCTTTAGTACTATCTCTATTCTCCAAATAGCTAATATTCACCCTCAGACTATATTCTAAAATCTAAGAGGAATGTGTAATTCCTGCCTGGAACGTGATCTGCCGAGGCTGCTTATTGTGATCCCATTTCAGGACGACAGACCCCACCCATGGACCCTGCAAAATGCCAGTTAGTTCACCCAGACTCTTCATAGTAGGGTAATGCGGATAATAGTCAAAAAAGACAGTAAGCAAGAGGAATGGGTGACGAGGCAGTGGGACCCACAGGGCTGAGTAGAAAGGAGGCAAGCCTAGAACCAGCAGCCGCTTTCTTCTGTTAATACCCAGGAGCCTATTGGGTTTCCGAGGATAACGAATGGGAAGGAAGTAACACAAGACAAAGAGGTGTGAGCAGACAGAGAGCAAGGTGAGGTAGCCAAGAGGATAAGATTAAAGGATCAAAGGGGTTTAAAAAAAAAAAAGTAATGGTTTTAGTATTAGTGACATTATTCCTTCCACTAAAATACTCTCCAGAAAGAGAAATTACAAGCCTACTTAATAAAAACATACCATGGTTTTTATTTATTTTGTTTTATCACAAAAGCGCCAGCATATTTTGTGGGATGAAGGTGGACTTGGAAGTTCTAGGGGTCGAGGGTTTTGTCTATTACACCGAGAGTTCGCTTCATGGAACCAAGCACAAACCACCCAATGAATGGTGATGAGGAAGGGAAGTTTTGCCTTGTCCCCCCACCTCATTTGAACATCAGAATATAATTATTTTCAGAGACAAAGTCCGTTCTATGCAATGCTTACAAG